TTCTTTTAGTATAACACATTTTATTTTATTACGCCCCCCCCCCCGAAAACACGATTTCAGCCATACTTTGCCATCTTGTTTGCTTTTTTATGGCCGAGTCTCGCAAATATTATCCAGTTGTTGTACTTTTACATAAAATCATAAAGGGCTAAGAATATTTCAACCAAGTTTCATCAAGTTGTAAGACAGTGCAGTGTATTTTACCATCGATATTGTGTCCTTCTATATTTCGTCAAATTGCCGCCCATTTTAATGGCTCGCCGCTTCTCTGTCCAATAAATGCCACTTCTTCGTTTTCATATGCATTTAGATTACAGTATCCAAGACTCAAGAGTCTTCATTGTAGAATAGTCCCAATCGAAAATTGACAATATTTGTCCCATTTGGAAGGAAAAACCCTTCCGTATATACCATTTAGGTTCAAAATAAAAAACAAATCATTTGAAAGTCACGCGCAATCTTAAAAACATATTTTTTTAAAAACAAGCAGTAATGCGCTCTCTACGTTTAGCTATTAAAAGAAACAATGACTTTGCAAAGCCGTCAACTATATACAAGATAGAGAACAAGACGCCGAAATTCGAAAAAAGATTGTTCGCTCGCGTTAATCGCTTTGATCATGCAGCCAATCAAAACTCGAGACAAAATCTTCCTAAAATTGTTTTAAATAAAAGTGCAAGGTCAATGAACAAATATTCAAACAGTACAAAACTGAAACAACTGACAAAAGCCCGACACAACTCACAAATAATCAGATATGAAATCTTGTAACACCCGTTCGCAATTACTCGGGTTGTACCAAACCACCTCATTGTTATGCAAGTTTTACTTCTTCGGAACAGATGGGACTTCCGTCTACGTATGCGCGAGAAACGTAAGCATGGAGTGCACGTGAGCGCGGGTTGATCGCGTGACTGTCGACTGAATTCCAAAAACAAACACCAAATTTTCCAAAACTACTCGTGTTATGAAGTCGTTTTCTTGTTTCTTTAGCGTTTCTACGCTCACAATTTTAGGCATTTCCGACTTAGAAGTGTTTGCTTTGGAATAAGAACATGAAAGTAGAAATAAAAAATTTGTTACAGCAGTTTAATTTCGCCACACAGATATATCTGTTTTATATGTATATCTTTTTCGAAGTGAAATATACAAGTGCATATTGAGCTTCCTTAAATTCGTACTTGTCCTATTTTTGACTCCACAAAAACTACTTTTATCCATGGAGAAACTATTTGACTTTAAAAATAAGCTGGAATTATGGAGGTGATATAGGCTAGTTTCTTTGCAAACAGTGATTTAGAACTCGGTAGTGTACTTGTTGTATATGAAGAAAAGTCTAAAATGATTTCAACACCCATCAACAAAAAGAAATCGCGCTTATTACTACTCGTTAGAAGATAGACAATTAATTTAATTCACTAGGAAGCCGTTCTACAATATAAACTAAAAATCGGCCAACATCACGAAATACTAGAATTAAAATATGGTCTCAAAGCTACAGATTTCACCGAACGGTCAAGTTTCTCTGCCAAGATCGCATTTTTGCCCAATTTTCATAGAGTATAGATCATCGTGTTATCAAGTCAAGGATTATGTATACTTTAACATAAAAGAATAAAAAAACTGGTGATAAAGGGTAGATTTTGAATAAAATACGAATATCTGTATACAAGATCTCAGCGTTATTATGAAGCACTCGATCGTTACTTTTTCCAACAACATATTGCGCTTAATTTTATACAAAATTAAAAATATTCACACAGTAAAGATATGAAAATGTAGCTTTATGTAACAAAGAAATGTTGGCTTACCTAAGTTATACCTTACACGTCAATTAAAGTCAAGTAAAGCCCTTTCAAAGACAAGTGCCAAATTAAACTACAGGTCACATGGCGGTAGAGAACTCGACGAAGTATTCAGGATATTTCATAGCCAGTTTAAACGCCGCTGCATGAGCACTATTCCTGGGAATTATGATGCCCAACACACCGGGTAACAAAATTTACCACTTTGTTCGGCTGTTCCAAGTACACTTTTAAGATACAACGTCCGATTATATCATGTTCTTCGAAGCATCTCTTCAAAACAGTCCAACATAAAATCGCCACTCATCTCCTTCGTATGAAAATATAAGTTTTACTTTCAATTGCTTTGCTTTAAATTAAAAACAGTCATTAGGTTGTTGAGTAGTTAGCTTGCAAGTTCCAACGAAGAAAACCCCGATGCTTTCAAAAACCAGTGAATGACAATGCTGTAAACTTCAAAATCCTTAGAAATTGTAAGCAAAACATCGAAAAGCAAAATTTGCGGGAAAAAGCTCACGAACCCGCACTATTTTCATGCAGCGTCGACGAAAGTCCCCTCTGTTCTTCTTCGGTTAATTTCTGTACAACGTCAATTGAATATAATATAATATAATATAATGGAATGGAATGGAATGGAATGGAACGGAATGGAACGCGATGGAACGCAATACAACGCAATACAACGCAATACAACGCAATACAACGCAATACAACGCAATACAACGCAATACAACGCAATACAACGCAATACAACGCAATACAACACGAGACGACACGAGACGACACGAGACGACACGAGACGACACGAGACGACACGAGACGACACGAGACGACACGAGACGACACGAGACGACACGATACGACACGATACGATACGACACGATAACATAACATAACATAACATAACATAACATAACATAACATAACATAACATAACATAACATAACATAACATAATTACAATACAATACAATACAATACAATACAATACAATACAATACAATACAATACAATACAATACAATACAATACAATACAATACAATACAATACAATACAATACAATACAATACAATACAATACAATACAATACAATACAATATAATACAATACAATACAATACAATACAATACAATACAATACAATACAATACAATACAATACAATACAATACAATACAATACAATACAATACAATACAATACAATATAATATAATATAATATAATACAATACAATACAATACAATACAATACAATACAATACAATACAATACAATACAATATAATATAATATAATATAATATAATATAATATAATATAACATAACATAACATAACATAACATAACATAACATAACATAACATAACAGAACATAACATAACATAACATAACATAACATAACATAACATAACATAACATAACATAACATAACATAACATAACATAACATAACATAACATAACATAACATAATTACAATACAATACAATACAATACAATACAATACAATACAATACAATACAATACAATACAATACAATACAATACAATACAATACAATACAATACAATACAATACAATACAATACAATACAATACAATACAATACAATACAATACAATATAATATAATATAATATAATATAATATAATATAATATAATATAATATAATATAATATAAATAAAAAGCCTTTTAACAGAAGGGCCACTAGAAAATCCTGAGTGAAACAAGACATTAAAACATATTTTCTCATGTTCTTGTAATAAAAATTCAAAGCGCATTACTCTCTTGTTCGTCAATCACAATCTGAAAACGACCGAATCCGACATATCCGTCCAAAACTCCGACCCGCGATTCAATCCGACATGGCAAAATTATTCCGATCCGTTCTCATACCCCGTGTGTGGCTTGAGTTATGCATGTAGCTACGATAGCTATATAAGGTATAACTCACTTTCCAGTATGGCATGTAACGAATGTTTGTGCCATCTGTGCTGAAGTAAAAAATATCACTCGGACACACGAGCAGTTAAAAAAGGAAGACTCTACCTAATCGAACTACATTTTTGCAAAAACCAATAGGAAGACCTGGTATATTTTATTTGTTTCTATTACAGGAATGCTCTAATTTAATAATTGAAATCATAAATCAGCGCTGCAGGGCTGTCTGGCATTTGTGTCATTTGTCAAATATTTGTTCTAATTATCACAGAGAAATCCAAAGTTGTCCGGTTATTGGGACCGTCAGCTTCCAATGGTACTGGCCGTGTGGAAGTATTCTACAATGGACGATGGGGAACAGTATGTGATGATAGTTGGGATATATATGATGCTAAGGTTGTATGTCGTGAACTTGGTTATCCATATGCTGCTAAAGCTCTTCACGGGCGTGACGTTCCTGATGGAACTGGACAGATATGGTTAGATGACGTCAGATGTACTGGGAGTGAACAGAGTCTAATGAATTGCTCTCATAACGGATGGGGAAGCCATAATTGTGGACATTCTGAAGATGCAGGAGTACAATGTTTTGCAGCGTTAACAGGTAAAATTATAACATTGCTTTTAACGACACGCGTAAAACTATGCCACTCGCGTTGTGCAGGAGCACCCTCCTCTTGACTGGTGAAGTCGTTTGCCATTGGAAATGGCAAACGACTCATGCCCACTTAAAGAGTTAATCGTGTACGATTCGTTTTCTGGCGTATGTCATTGAGTAAACATGCATGCGTAAGCTGGCTACATTTGAAATTTCTTTTTACCGAAACGGCAATGAATTATTGCGCCAGCGCTCATTTTAATATGCCATTATACAATTGTACACGATTAATCGTAGCGTGTAAACGTAGCTTAAAAATATAACTTATTAGTAATTACTAATTAAATTTTCAATTCCCCAAACTTATATACAGTATGTTAAATATGTTATTACAGTTAATATAAGTTTCAATTTAAGGAAAATTTCAACCTTAAACACTTCGCAAGATGTTTTAAAATGTTCTTTATAACACTAAGCTGCTCTTAACGGCTTTATTGGAAAACTTTGAGTTTGAAATAAAATGAAATAAAATGAAAATATACGCAACGATCAGCTTCAAAGCTGTTATAAAGCGAACAATACATCAATATTTAAATACCTGCTGTAACTTCGTTAACATCGGTGACTTTACTCCATTCTTTTAGTATATCTTCCGCCTTTATTTTCTTTAAAAGCTTTTGAAATCCACAAAATCTTGCAAGAAATCATCATTCGTCAATCATCCAATCAAGAAATGTTTGCTATTTCGCTATCGTTGTGCAGTCGTTATAATGCAAACTATAAATTTGACAAATCAGTGTCCGCTATTCATGACATTCCGCCATGTTTTTGAGATCAGTAAGGATGACCACCAACCGAAACTTCGTTGGTGACCCACACCCGCGGTCATTGATGAAGTTTAAACTTTGCTAACGCTTTCGTTTCCCCGGGTGTAAATAGCCAGGCGGAATTAGTACCCTCGCCACGGGCTTACTTCCGGAACTTTGCAGGAGTTGCAGGAGCAATCCTTGCTCTCTATTTCACTTTCAATTTTAATACCTATTTTTAGTTTGCTGCTGTGATAACCAACCTCTGTTGTGATGAAAGTGAAATGTTCAGTAATAAAATGTAAAATGTGCAATGATCAAATTTCCTGTGATAACTTGTTAATTAACAAGAAAATGAGGACTGAATTGTGTCGTAGTTAGCAAATAATTATGGTGGGATATTTTAGCTGCAGTAATAGGCGTAGCCGCGTAGGAATGTAGTCGCATTTATGAAATGTTGATACGAAAACAAGACACGATTGTTCAACCGAGGGGAAGCATTACTCCATGATATTTTGTAATAAAGAGAATGCCAGGCTGTCCACTCTGTAGTTAATGGTTGGTGGTCCCTAACAAAAACGATGGCGTTATATAAAAAAATAGTTAAAATGTGGTAGCAGCTTCAGCAGAAAAATAAATATTTCTTGAAATGCTTGTTTTTTGGAACATAAACCCGTGTTCTTTGCTGATTCTCATCATCACAGCCGTCAAAGCTACAACAATCGGAAACATATGGGATGAAGAATGTATCATTTTAGAATTTTAGGTTTTGTAATCCAAGTGAGTATATATACATTTTAAAACCCGACCAGGAACGACTACGAAAAATGCAGCACAAGGTCCTGATCAATGTCCAATACCTATGCAAGATGCCCGATGGATAAATCAAAAGGCCATTGGATATTCCGTTTGTCAAATGGATCTCTAATTGTCCATTGGATTTTCGCGTGTCCATTGGATCCAATGGACAAGTGGAATTTTTATCGGACATTTGCCTTTTCAGTTGGTCAATTAACATGTCTAGGAATGACGTAATGACAAGCATATGGACGTCATGTAGACAGTAGGCCATTGAGATAGCCAAACGAATGCGTCCAATGGACCCAATGGATCCAATGAGCCTGGAAATATCCGTTGGACATTTGCTTTTACAGTTAGTCAATTAACATGTATTTAAATGACGTAATGACGCCATGTATATAGTATGCCATTGAGATGGCCAAACGAAAGTGTCCATTGGATATAATGGATCCAATGGACATGGAAATGTCCATTGAAATTTTGTTTGTCCATTGGATCCAATGGACAATTGGAATTTCCATCGGACATTTGCTTTTTCATTTGGTCAATTACCATGTATTGAATGACGTAATGACAAGCATATGGACATCATGTAGACAGTAGGCCATTGAGAAGGCCAAACGAAATTGTCCAATGGAATTTCGGTGCAGCGCTCTAACCAACCGAGCTACAGAGGCCAGCTGTTAAGCTGTAACCGTAAGTTCATGTATATATAGGCAATCGGTGCGGGTTGTGATAAGGTATAGACTTCAATTATTTTGGTTTCTTGCACTTCACTTGGTGGAATTAATATTAGAATTTTAGGGTTCAAACCTGAACAGGAACGACTGCGTTCCCGGTCAGGTTTCGCAGTCGTTCCTGGCCAGGTTTTAAAATGTATATAATATACTAACTGGGATTACAAAACCTAACATTCTAATATTAATTCTACCAAGTGAAGTGCAAGAAACCGAAACCAAAATCATTAAAGAATTCGAATGTATCATTTTCTCTTTTTCAAGAATTTTTCCAGGATAACAACAATTACCCTGACATAACGAATTTGGTACCCAACTACAGCCATGCATAGTGCCAGCTCTGTTGGGGGAATAGGCCATACATTAAGTTTTTATTTTTTCACTTTTCAGTTGTTCTGCCCTTTAATTTAAATCGTACAATTTTTACAGGTGTATCTGTCAGGTTACAAGGACCATCAAGTTCCACTGGAGCTGGTCGAGTGGAAGTATTCTACAATGGAAGATGGGGAACAGTATGTGATGATAGTTGGGATATAAATGATGCTACGGTTGTATGTCGTCAACTGGGATTTATATCCGCTGTTAGAGCTCTTCAAGGTAGCAATGTTCCCGACGGAACTGGCCAGATATGGTTGGATGATGTTTCTTGTACTGGACATGAACAAAATTTAATCAATTGTTCTCACACGGGATGGGGAGTTTATAATTGCGCGCATTCTGAGGACGCAGGAGTCGAATGTTATTCAATCGGTAAAATTGTAATATTTTCGAGCGTAGGCAAGCGACGTTTTTTTCAACACGGACGTCATTACAAACTGAGTTTGTATCAGTTTGTGGCAATCTTCAACACATATGACAAAACATAAAAGATTTCTACGTCCGTGTTGACTAGAACATCGCTTGCCTAAGCTCACAAATTGTTTTCAACCATTCGCATGAAACTATCTGGCACTCATAATGTGTAACAGCACTTCATTTTTGACTATAGTAATATCTGTCTGCCTTTAGACAGAGCAAAATAACAAAGTTGGGCGTCTCATGGCTTGTTGCCACTTGAAGAGTACGTTAGGCATTCAAAATTATATACGTTATTATACTACCACAGATAATAATTGGTAATGATACACGCAATTTCTACCACAGTGAAACACTAACTTTCTAAAAGGTATGAAACAAATGCTTACTTATCTTTTTTCTGCGTACGATTATTCAATACAGATGTGGATGAATGTTCCCTAGGATTGGACAACTGTGCGAATAATTCTCAATGTATTAACACCAATGGGAGTTTTTTGTGCAGATGTAACCATGGTTATTCGGGAAATAGTGTATTTTGTTCTGGTGAGTAGTACTTGGTAATCCGTAGACATTACAATCATAGTGCGATCATTATGACAGTCAACAGGTCGTCTTTCCTGTCTAAACCAAATAGTAACTTTCCCCGCATAAAGATAATACTCTATCACTCTTAGTTACTTTACGTAATAGCGCCAGTTATCCAAACTGTGTTATAAATACGGAGTGTGGATTCCAAATTTCAAAATTCCGCATAACAAAAGTTGAATGCCAAGTGAAATGAAAGAATATACAAGGTTTTAACATATCTTTAATCTTTTGCTATGATAAGTTACTTTAGGTTCAACATATTGCGTGTAAGATCGTTCTAAGAATAATTAGCAATTGCTTATTTAACATCCGTTCGAAGCCAGTATAATTCACACACTCTTGTAATTTATAATAATGTTTACACACTTTCTCATTTAAATATTTCAAATGCAAGTCTTCCTCCAACAAATTTTTAAATATATACTTCAAAATTTGGAATGTTATCACAGAGGTCTTCGTGAGAGGGGGGGAGGGGGGGGGGGCATAGCCCATTTCAAATGTATTAAACCATTTCCATAAATACGATGCTAGTGAAATACAATACTTTGTCAACCAACAGAACTAAACGAAATAGCTAATTATTGGATTGTTACCTCCCTCATATAGTATGAAGAAAAATTAAGACTTCCATTTGGTTTATACTAATACTGAATAAGTCGTCAACCAATGTGTTTTATTTTAGATATCAATGAATGTTCTCTATCGATAGACAACTGTCATACTAACGCTTCTTGTACTAACATTGGCGGGTCTTTTGTCTGCACGTGTGACAGTGGATACACTGGAAATGGAACTGTTTGCGTAGGTAATTATACAATTCTCATCTTTTAACATCAATTCAATTGGAATGATCGAGTAAAAAGAAATGTCGAGTAAAAATAAAGAGGTAAAAACGTATGCTACGAAGGTAATAAAACTCTTATTTGCTACGTTTGTAAAGTGTTAATGCCATTTACTTGTTATAAATATCTGGAAATAGATGAATGTTCCCTATCTCTTGAAGACTGTCATCCAAATTGAAACTGCGCCAATATTGATGGATTTTTCCTGTGCACTTGAGCTGGTATATTTGAAGGAAAAATATCTTTGTCAAGATAAATAGGGGTTTTTTTTTCATCAGTCAGAATGAAGCAATCTGATTGACTGAGGAACCTTTTCGAGCGGGACGGATTTTTGCATCCGGCTCGCTCTGAAACGCCCGAAAATGCCCGCTCTGGTTTTCCCGACAAAAAATTTGTTGCAGGTACCGGTGGAAATCGTATAACAAATGAAGTCTTGTAACACTTGTTCGCAATTACTCAGGTTACACCAAACCACCTCATTGCTATGGAAGTTTTACTTCTTTGGTTAATTTTTGTACAACCTCACGATCAATTGAATATCCCCCTCGCCTTGCTGACAAAACCATTGTATTTTTCGAACCTGAAGTATTTAAAGTAGTTGTCATAGTAACACGATAATATTGTTAAGAATATTTTTACATTTGAAAAATCCCCTAAAGCTACGTTTACGCGCTGCGATTAATCGTGTACGATTCGTTTTCTGGCGTATGTTATTGAGTAAACATGCATGCGTAAGCTGCCTACATTTGAAATTTCTTTCACCGAAACGGCAATGAATTATTGCGCCAGCACTCATGCTATTGTCGTTCCAATTGAAGTGTTCCTCAAATATTGATTCAATACATTATCTCCGGCTGACCAATTCATACGAATTCAAATTTCTTTTTGCTTCCTGTGCGTTTCCTATTGGTTAATCGGTTCTGAAACGAGATCTAATTGGCTCATTTAAAAGTAACAGGAAGTTGATCAATTTTCTATCAAATGATTGGCCAGACCAGGTAATGTATTGAATCAATATTTGAGGAACACTTCAATTGGAATGACAGTAACACGCCATAATACGAATTGTACACGATTAATCGTAGCGTGCAAACGTAGCTTAAAAATATCACTTTAAATTAGTAATTACAAAATTTTCAATTCCCGAAACTGATATATGTTAAGTATGTTATTACAGTTGAATTAATTTTCAATTTAAGGAAAATTTTAACCTTAAACACTTCGCAAGATGTTTTAAAATGTTCTTTATAACACTAAGCTGCCCTTAACGGCTTTATTGGAAAACTTTGAGTTTAAAATAAAATGATTTCAAATTCTCGCATTCAAACAACGTTGCTTTCCTTTTCAACATAATAAAAAGGTTAATCAATAAAGAAACACTTCGAAGCTGTTATAAATAGCCTATAGCACTAGAAAATACATGCATGGAGCAACCCCTCGCCTCTCTTAGCAAATGAAGTATAAAAACCCTACATAAAGAATTAAGACCATTATAAACAAACATAAAAACATAACTGATGCGCTAGCTTTATAATAAACGATAACATTCGCTGCAATTCTATCCATACCAGCTTGAATTAAAGTAAATTATCGAGTGAAGAATAGCTTAAAAATTTCACAGATATGAATAAAACCGACAAAACAAAGCAAGTACGTCATGGAATTTTACTTCTCAAATGTTTACGCTCACCCAAACCCGCACAACATTGATTAAATTATCAAAGACATCAACATCAAAATATCAAAACGATTATTATACACACTTCGTTTTACGGTTAAGCAGCCACTAATTCAAGAATCTGCAGGCTTATTTCCAGTCAAAATCG